CTCTGCCCTCTCTCACACCACTCTCTGACCTCTCTCTCACACCACTCTCTGCCCTCTCTCTCACACCACTCTCTGCCCTCTCTCACACCACTCTCTGCCCTCTTCACACCACTCTGCCCTCTCACACCACTCTCTGCCCTCTCTCACACCACTCTCTGCCCTCTCTCTCACACCACTCTCTGCCCTCTCACACCACTCTCTGCCCTCTCTCACACCACTCTCTGCCCTCTCACACCACTCTCTGCCCTCTCTCACACCACTCTCTGCCCTCTCTCTCACACCACTCTCTGCCCTCTCACACCACTCTCTGCCCTCTCTCTCACACCACTCTCTGCCCTCTCTCTCACACCACTCTCTGCCTCTCTCACACCACTCTCTGCCCTCTCTCACACCACTCTCTGCCCTCTCTCACACCACTCTCTGCCCTCTCTCACACCACTCTCTGCCCTCTCTCTCACACCACTCTCTGCCCTCTCTCACACCACTCTCTGCCCTCTCTCACACCACTCTCTGCCCTCTCACACCACTCTCTGCCCTCTCACACCACTCTCTGCCCTCTCACACCACTCTCTGCCCTCTCACACCACTCTCTGCCCTCTCACACCACTCTCTGCCCTCTCACACCACTCTCTGCTCTCTCTCACACCACTCTCTGCCCTCTCTCACACCACTCTCTGCCCTCTCTCACACCACTCTCTGCCCTCTCACACCACTCTCTGCCCTCTCACACCTCTCTCTGCCCTCTCACACCACTCTCTGCCCTCTCACACCACTCTCTGCCCTCTCTCACACCACTCTCTGCCCTCTCACACACTCTCTGCCCTCTCTCACACCACTCTCTGCCCTCTCACACACCACTCTCTGCCCTCTCACACCACTCTCTGCCCTCTCTCTCACCACTCTCTGCCCTCTCACACCACTCTCTGCCTCTCTCTCACACCACTCTCTGCCCTCTCACACCACTCTCTGCCCTCTCACACCACTCTCTGCCCTCTCACACCACTCTCTGCCCTCTCACACCACTCTCTGCCCTCTCTCACACCACTCTCTGCCCTCTCCCACACCACTCTCTGCCCTCTCTCACACCACTCTCTGCCCTCTCACACCACTCTCTGCCCTCTCACACCACTCTCTGCCCTCTCACACCACTCTCTGCCCTCTCTCTCACACCACTCTCTGCCCTCTCTCACACCACTCTCTGCCCTCTCACACCACTCTCTGCCCTCTCACACCACTCTCTGCTCTCTCACACCACTCTCTGCCCTCTCACACCACTCTCTGCCCTCTCACACCACTCTCTGCCCTCTCACACCACTCTCTGCCCTCTCACACCACTCTCTGCCCTCTCACACCACTCTTTGCTCTTTCTCTCACACCACTCTCTGCCCTCTCTCTCACACCACTCTCTGCCTCTCTCACACCACTCTCTGCCCTCTCTCACACCACTCTCTGCCCTCTCACACACCACTCTCTGCCCTCTCACACCACTCTCTGCTCTCTCTCACACCACTCTCTGCTCTCTCACACCACTCTCTGCCCTCTCACACCACTCTCTGCCCTCTCACACCACTCTCTGCCCTCTCACCACTCCCCACACTCTCTGCCCTCTCACACCACTCTCTGCCCTCTCACACCACTCTCTGCCCTCTCTCACACCACTCTCTGCCCTCTCTCACACCACTCTCTGCCCTCTCTCTCACACCACTCTCTGCCCTCTCTCACACCACTCTCTGCCCTCTCACACCACTCTCTGCCCTCCACACACCTCCTCTCACACCACTCTCTGCCCTCTCACACCACTCTCTGCCCTCTCACACCACTCTCTGCCCTCTCTCACACCACTCTCTGCCCTCTCACACCACTCTCTGCCCTCTCACACACTCTCTGCCCTCTCACCACTCTCTGCCCTCTCCACACCACTCTCTGCCCTCTCACCACTCTCTGCCCCTCTTTCACACCACTCTGCCCTCTCACACCACTCTCTGCCCTCTCTCTCACACCACTCTCTGCCCTCTCACACCACTCTCTGCCCTCTCTCACACCACTCTCTGCCCCTCTCTCACACCACTCTCTGCCCTCTCACACCACTCTCTGCCCTCTCACACCACTCTCTGCTCTCTCTCTCACACCACTCTCTGCCCTCTCTCACACACTCTCTGCCCTCTCTCACACCACTCTCTGCCCTCTCTCACACCACTCTCTGCCCTCTCACACCACTCTCTGCCCTCTCACACCACTCTCTGCCCTCTCTCACACCACTCTCTGCCCTCTCTCACACCACTCTCTGCCCTCTCTCACACCACTCTCTGCCCTCTCTCACACCACTCTCTGCCCTCTCTCTCACACCACTCTCTGCCTCTCTCTCACACCACTCTCTGCCCTCTCACACCACTCTCTGCTCTCTCTCTCACACCACTCTCTGCCCTCTCTCTCACACCACTCTCTGCCCTCTCTCACACCACTCTCTGCCCTCTCACACCACTCTCTGCCCTCTCTCACACCACTCTCTGCCCTCTCACACCACTCTCTGCCCTCTCACACCACTCTCTGCCCTCTCTCACACCACTCTCTGCCCTCTCTCTCACACCACTCTCTGACCTCTCTCTCACACCACTCTCTGCCCTCTCACACCACTCTCTGCCCTCTCTCACACCACTCTCTGCTCTCTCTCACACCACTCTCTGCTCTCTCTCACACCACTCTCTGCCCTCTCTCACACCACTCTCTGCCCTCTCTCACACCACTCTCTGCCCTCTCTCACACCACTCTCTGCCCTCTCTCTCACACCACTCTCTGCCCTCTCTCACACCACTCTCTGCTCTCTCTCTCACACCACTCTCTGCCCTCTCTCTCACACCACTCTCTGCCCTCTCACACCACTCTCTGCCTCTCTCTCACACCACTCTCTGCTCTCTCTCTCACACCACTCTCTGCCCTCTCTCACACCACTCTCTGCCCTCTCACACCACTCTCTGCCCTCTCACA